GAGAGAGAGAGAGAGAGAGAGAGAGAGAGAGAGAGAGAGAGAGAGAGAGAGAGAGTTGTGTGTGCACACGTGCATTTAGAGTGTATATGTTATATGTTCAAGTGTGGTATGCACGTGAATACAGCTGCTCTGAGTGGTGGGAAGAATTCAGGGGCCTCAAGGGTCCATGCACACGTGCTCAGTAAATAATGTTTCAACTCCAAGGACTTGAAAACCTAGTTCCAGGCTGGCTTGCCTGAGCTAGCAGCCAAGTTCAGTGGGTAGAACCCCAGAGGGACCTCTGTAATGTCAACACATTAGCAGTCAGAGCTGCCTCTACAGCCAGGAGAATTCCAGATGCCCTTCCTTAACCTCCAGGTGACTCTGCTGCCCCTAGGGGGCAGCACAGAACTGTTCCAGATGAGGGCCTTGTCTCTAGCAATCAATATTGGGACACAATACAACATGGGACTCGCTGGCTGTGTGACTTTGACTAAGTTACTTACCCTCCCTGGGTCTTGTTTTTTCTCCTATATAAAACAAGAATAGGGGCTGGAGAGATGGCTCAGAGGTTAAGAGCACCAACTGCTCTTCCGGAGGTACTGAGTTCAATTCCCAGCACCTACATGGTGGCTCACAACCATCTGTAATGAGATCTGACACCCTCTCCTGTATACATAATAAATAAATAAATATTTAATAAATAAATAAATAATTTTAAAAACCAAGAATAATAACTAATCTCAAAGTAGAGAAGTCATGACATAATCCTCACCAAACATTCAAGAAAAGCCATGTATCCCAGTGGGTAAAGTGATGTATCCCAGTGGGTAAAGTGATGTATCCCAGTGGGTTCCCAATAAGTAAACAGAACCCAGGATCCATGTTTCAAAATGATTTCACACACACACACACACACACACACACACACCGCTTTGAAGGCATGATCTTGGGGTCTGAAGAGATGACTCAGTGGTTAAAATCACTCACTCGCTGCTCTCCTGGAGGACCTGAGCTCAGCTCTCCCACCCCCGGCAGGCAGCTCAGAACTGCTTGTATAGGAGATCTGACGCCCTCTTGGCTTCCAAAGGCACCGTATCATGTACACATACTCACACACAGACGTACACATAGCAAATAAATAATAAAGGACATCTTTGAAAAACAAAAAAGACAAGGTCTCACATAGGCCGGATGGGCCTTGAACTCACTGTGTAGCCAAGGGTAACCATGAATCCCTAATCTTCCAGCCTCTCCTCCCAAGTGTGGGGATTGCCACCATGCCTAACTGGGGAGGTGTGGTGGTGGTGAGGGGGTGATATCACATGTTGCCAAGGCTGGCCTCAAACAACTAGGCACAGGATCCTCTCAACCTCAGCCTCCCAAGTCTCTGGGAATACAGGTGTCATTGGGTATTCAAATAAGAGCATAGAATCACAGAGTGACCGTAAACAAATACAGTCTTCCCAGTCTTCGGTTTAGTAAAGAAATATCATGGTGTCAGAGCCAGACATTGCTCCTGTTTGCTTGTGCCTGTAGTCCCATCACTAGAGAGGCAGAGGCAGGAGGATTGCTGAGAGTGCAAGGCCAGCCAGGGCTATAGTGTGAGACCTATCTCAAAAAAAGGAAGAGGAGGAGGAAGAGGAAAGGAGAGAGAGGGAGGGGAGAAGGGAGGAAAAAAGACATTATGGTATTATTAAGCAGATAAGAATAAGCTGTAATTTGGGGCTGGAGAGATGGCTCAGTGGTTAGGAGCGCCAACTGCTCTTCCAGAGGAACCTGGTTCGGTTCCCAGCACTCACATGGTGGTTCATGAACATCTCTAACTCCAGTCTCAGATTCTTAGGGAATCTGACGCCATCTTCTGGCCTTCTCAGACACTGCAGGCACATGAATACACATCCATAAACATAAAACAAAAATACATAAAATGTCAACAAAAGAATAATCCTCAGTTTGCACCATTTCCCCACAAGCTGTTTCTTGCTGTTCAAGTGGATAGGGGTTTTCTCCTCTCTATCGTTTTGAACCTAGTAAAGTAAAATTATTGAATCACAAATAATTCAAACCAGACTCTGAAGATGCTTAGACAGAAAGGGAAGTTTTTAAGTTTTCAAGTCCTTGGGGACTGGGATTGTTATTGATGTCCTTGGAGTGCTGCCTCTCAGGCATATGACCTGGCACTCCTCTTGGGCTGGCTGGGGCTGAGCCAGCAGCTCTGGTGAGTGAGACGGGAAGCAGTTTAGGGGGCCACTGGCTGCACACGCTGTCACTATTTTCACCTGGACCCAAGGAAGGCTTCACTCTGCAGAGTTTGTGTCGGCTGATTAGACGGACTCTCATCAGAGCCTCCACACTGCAGGGAGCGAGTGGAGCCTTCAGTGAGTGCGCGTGCGCACTCCACATGGCCACGGCCATGTCAAGGACCCAAATGCCTTAGCCCCGTGGGAGTGCCAAAGCCTTCCCCAGGTGAGGCTTGGAGGGGTGGTGAAGCCTTCCTTGGGTCCAGGTGCCAGGATTGCAGGCATGCACCACCATACCTAGCTGAACGCTGTCTCTTAATGGACATAAATATGCTGCCCACATGCTGGCTCTTTCCTCGTTACCCACCCTCAGTGAAGAGGGCATGGGCATCTACGTGGGCCTTCGGCTGCCTTCGGCTCTCATCAAATGGGTTCTAATGACTTGGATGAGAGCACAAGGGAGTAAACAGAGAGAATGCTAACACCTTCAGGCACAGCTCTGCCAAGCGCCCTGGTCAAGCTAATGCTTTTCAGGTGCATTCTCTAAGTCCAGACATGGAAACCTGGGCTCTCGGGACCTGGGGGCAGGACTCAGAATGCATTGTCACAGTTCCAGGCCACTTTCTGTATCAGTGTCCTACAAAGGTTCCGTTGGTCACCTGAGCCCCAGCTTTGCTCACCCGTGTGGTCCCTGCATCCATGTCTCTGCCATGATGGCTATTCTTTGTAGTCAGCCTGAGTCCATCTGGGGTTAACGAAAGACCCAAGCTGGGCACACCTGTGAGGGATTTTTCTTGATTGGACCATCTGAGGTTGGAGGACCCACCCCAAATCTGGGCCACACCAGGCAAGGCAACCTGTACAGAGGATGCAGAAGGAAGACGCTTTTGAAAGCCAGGCTAATTGTTCTTGCTAACTGAAGTGTCAACCCAGAACATGGTTTTTGTGCCCACAAACTCACCCTGAGAAAGGCTCAGGGCTACACTGGGATCTAAAACACCCAGTGTAGTTGCTGGCTGGCTAATAAAGACGTTCTATTGGCTTAGACCCATGTCCAAGCAGTCTTCTCTGGTGAATATCCCACAACAGTGATGAAGGGATTTTCAGACTCAGGGGAACCATGATGCTAGAGTGAGTACTTTGTGTAAAACCTAATCCTCTGAAGTGGGAAGGCCTGGAAGACATGCCCTTCACTAATCCTGTAAGATGCAAAATGGTGAGGGGGCAAACATCTCTGAAGAGCTTTGTAGTTGCCCTTTCCTTGGGCTGGACCTTAAGGTCAGAGATGCTATGGGGGAATGAAATCAAAGGGGTTCATTGGGCCCCAAAGTAGCAGCGGTCTGGTGGCATTACTGAATGCTAACAGCAAGGTGATTGTAGTTACCGTAATGAACGGTATAGGCAAAGCAATGTCCATAATGGCCTGACCTCTAATGAGTAGCACAAGCAAAGTGAACGTATGTATGTATGTATGTATGTATGTATGTATGTATGTATGTATGTATATGTATGTATGTATGTATGTATGTGTATGTATGTATGTATGTAGTAGCATGACCTGTATGGACCTTTGGCAGTGGCAAGTCAGTCATGGTGTTTCCAAGCATGTAACAGATAGGAAGCCGACTGCATTTTTGCTTGATCTGTATAAGTGGAAACAATTCCTTCCCCCCCCTCCCCCCGACAGGGTTTCTCTGTGTAATTTTGGTGCCTGTCCTGGAACTCACTCTGTAGACCAGGCTGGCCTCACAGAGATCCACCTGACTCTGCCTCCTGAGTGCTGGGATTAAAGGTGTGTGCCACCACCACCCAGCTGGAAACAATTCTTAAACAAATAAAAGAAAGGCTACACTGGATCATGGCAAAAGGGAGTCTTGGCCTGTGAATTGATTTTAGACTTGAGCCAGTGTTCAGGCCCAGAACCCCTTGACTGAAGGGCAGGCAGGTTCCCCTGAGGAAGGACCGTGATGTAATACCTAAGAGTTGTACTGTCAGCCTTTCCCCAATTGTTCGGGACCCATGGCCTTTTACAAGGGTGTCTGTACCCTGGGGGGAA